GATTTGGTCATGTTATCCTCTTTAGTAAACTGGAATTGTCATGGCTACTGTAGGTGTCAAGGTTAATACCACCCTCCGGTTGAGGCCCCTCAGCCTTGACTTGTCCACATGAGGATCCTGAGGCTGTCCTCTCTCCCACAGAGAGCTGATCCATGCAGACAGTCGTGATGTCCCTGGCTTGTCTCCCAAGCCTGCACACTCTGGCACTGCAGAGCCAGGGCAGCAGCCACAGGGCCGGGGTCACCCTGCCAGCTGGTGCCATATCTCCATGTCTCTCAAGCTTCTTTCTTGTTTGCCATCGGGCCCGTTAAAGGTGACATGAGGTTCTAATAAGGCTGCTAGCTCCTCAACCCGCTCTGTAGGTGTTAGTGAATCAGGCATCTCCTGCCATGCCCCAATCACAGCTGCACTCTCAGACCCAGATGTCTTGTTTGTCAGCTTGACAGACCTGCCTGGGGATAGACATTGATAGACCGTTTGACTGACTCAACAACTCGGTGTGAATGTGTGTGTGTGTGTCCGGGTTTCTTAAAACATATGCTGCTTAAAAAAATCTAGACAGTTTTGAATTAGGTTAAAGGTAAGGTTAAGTTAGCTTTTTTGTTTTACAGCAAAAAAGCAAACAATATCCATCCATTCATCCGTCCATCCATCTATCCCAATCTGTCCATCCTTCTGTCCATCTATCCATTTATCCATCATCCATCCATCCATCCATCCATCCATCCATCCATCCATCCATCCATCCATCCATCCATCCATCCATCCATCCATCCATCCATCCGTCTATCATCCCCATCTGTCTGTCCATCCATCTATCCGTCTGTCCGTCCATTCATTCGTCCATCCATCCATCCATCCGTCCGTCCGTCCGTCCGTCCGTTTATTATCCCCATCTGTCTGTCCATCCATCTGTCCGTCCATCCGTCTGTCCATCCATCCATCCATCCATCCATAGTAAATGGACTGTACTTATATATAGCACCTTTCTATCTTATTTCAAGATACTCAAAGCGCTTTAAATTACAATCTGTGCCTCATTTACCCATTCATACAGCACTCTACTAGATCTCTACAAAGCTAATAGAACAAATCATTCTAATGTGACTAATCAGTGCTTTAGATCACATTCATACACTGACGGGACACACATCAGAGGCAATGAGGGGTTCAGTGTCTTGCCCAGGGACACTTCAGCATGTGACTACTGGTGGATTCGAACCCCCAACTCTTGCATTGCAGGACGACTGCTCTAACCACTCAGCCTCAGCCACCTATCCATCCATCCATCCATCCATCCATCCATTAATTTGTCCATTCATTCTTCCATCCATTTGTCAATTCATTCATCCATCCATGCGTTCGTCCGTCCATCCATCCATCCATCCATGCGTTCGTCCGTCCATCCATCCATCCATCCATCCATCCATCCATCCATCCATCCATCCATCCATCCCCATCTGTCTGTCCATCCATCCATCCATCCATCCATCCATCCATCCATCCATCCATCCATCCATCCATCCATCCATCCATCCATCCTCATTTGTCTGTCCGTCCGTTCGTCCGTCCATCCATCCATCCATCCATCCATCCATCCATCCATCCATCCATCAATCCATCATTATTTGCAGAAAATTACAAATGCCAAGCTATATTTTTTCCAAGTAAAAAAGACAAGTCCTCAAAGTCAGGTTGGATGAAGATGGCAAATGCTTAACTGCTGCTTTTTCCCCATTTTGCATCAACAGAAAAACCATACTGAAGTCCTACAACAGCAAAATAAATCTGCACATTAAAAAAACAAAACTTAAAACTCAATTAAAGCTCTTCATTGGTAGGTTGTAGCAATGGCAAACTTGGGAAGACGGTGGAAATGCAAAAATGTGTAAATTGAGAGCGGAAGTGCCACCTTATCTTGTTACTGCGAGAGTTTCAGCCTTGTGCAGTTTAAATGAAATGCCGCTACAGTCACCGGCTTGTGTGAGCTGTGATAATGACCTGAAGTTGGAATCACTCCAGTTTACTGTATGTTATTATAGTGCTGTGTGGATCAGTTATTGTCTTTCAATAGGATGATCAGAAATGTGATTCCCAGTTCCCATACCACTCTCTCCAATATACTTATCAATATATGCGTGAGAGCAAAAATGCAATGCAGTTGAGTTCAATTATGTATTAGGAAACAATATATACTTTGGGATTAATAAAGTATTTTTGAATTGAATTGAATTGAATATATGAATAGGGTGTTTGAGTGGGCAAATAAGAAACAGTGTAAAGCACTTTGAAGAACCTGGAGGAGGTTGAAAATGAAATATAAAAGTGTGGATCATTTCCTTTTTTGCACATTTAACAATTGATTTAAGATCCACGGCACAAGTGATCTGTGAATTACATGAATTAGACAGGGAGCTAGACGACATATGTACCACATTTCACTATACTGGTGACTCAAAAAATGTTTAAACCACAGTGAGTGCCTTTGTGGGTATCTTTGACTTGGTGAACTGTAAGAAAGCGTTACCAGTAAACCTCCCACTTGACCTCAAGGATGTCTGTGGTTTTCCACTGTTGCACCAGTCATTTTAAGGCAAGAAGGGGGTGGATGGAGGTTATATTTGTTTGTGCGCTGAGCTTTTGATTTTTTTGTCATGACTTCAACCAAAAAGCCAACTTTTCAAAATGTACAACAGAAAAATAAGCAAACAAGTGCAAAGTAAACTCACTGTGCTAGTATAGGATAGTTTTATTTTGTAACGTGAAGGACCACACCTCATAATAGCTGCTGCTGCTGGGGTTGAAATGAAGCGGTACCTGGGTCAGCAACCTTGCACTCAGCACTTTGACATGCATCCAGGTGGAACAAAGTCCTCACTCAGCGTCTCATCTCGAGCTTCCTGCTGAAAGGTGACATCTCCATGGCTTAACGGCCTCATTCATCTGCTAAAGAGCATACAATTTGTTAATCGTTTCCCCCTCATGGCAGTCTACGTTTTCCAGTTGGTTAGACAAACAAACAAAATTGCAAACAGGTGAAAGAGAAATGGGCAGCTCTGATTTTGACTCAGAGGAAGCTAGAATCTGGTGAGAGCAACAGTAGATAGACAGTCATTTGAGTGCCCACGTGTATCCTCTTGACTTCCCCCATGCTGTGTTTCTTCTTGGGGAAAATGATCAGAGTAAAATGCTTAGTTTTGTTTTGTTGAGAAAAAAAAAATCATTTTAGAATGTGCGTTGTTAATTGGTGCATTGAATAGAGTCTTCCATGTCCAAAGCAGGCATAATGGTCTTTTGTAATTACCTGTAGTGTGGAAAATTTTAAATTCATTTATCACAGCTGGATTGACTCCGCAGAATGTGCAGTTCCACACACTATGCAGCACATAGGATTATACAGTGTTACACCTGTCAAAATGAGGGTAAAGCTGCAAGCTGTGGCCAGTTACAGTTGAACAAAGCCATCGCATCTGCTCGACTCCTCTTTTAGTAGTTCGCTAAATCCGAAAAAGCACTTAGACCTACACAGTTAGAATGCACAATTTACACTTTAAATGACACATTCAGAAAGATGCCAATTACGCTCAGTGGAAATAAAGTAACTTTGTTCAACATAAACACATTCTTCTGTTTCAAAACCTAAAGAAAAAACAAACATATTTCTATTCCCCTCCCTTTATAAATTGTAGTTGGTTGGAGAAATTAATGTAGCATTACTGTAAGGCGGCACAGTAACATAATGATGTGTGAACAGGTCCACAGTAACCACAGGGACAGAGCTGCAGAGATGCAGGACAGAAAGTCACTTTGCAGAGAGGGTTGCGTTACGACTGGAGTGATGTATGACCTGAAGTCCCATCTGAGGGCTCACGTTACATGGCTTTATGCTGGTCCACAGTGATAGCTTTCCGTACATGGAGTCAGGGGCTACAATAATATATGGACCCCTGATTCTGCCAAAGCTCTGACTCAGCTCGCTGATAGTGCCTCTTACCCTGACCTCTGTCCTGATAACTAGACATTTCAGACATGCCATGTTATTACAATCATACTAAAAGATGGGGGAGTTGTGTTTTTGTCAGCTTGTTCACAGCAGCATTGCTGCTGTAGATTTAAACATCCCTCAGTATAATTTCGTGAAAAATTTGGATTACTTGCATTATAATCTATTTTTTCACTCCATTTACAATAATTTATAAATCTTTTACACAAAGCAAGTTGGTAATGTGATCTGCAACATCTACTTATGTTTAAAGTTGTTTAAATTACCTTTAGCTTGGCCAGCTATCACATTTTCCTGAGGTTCACATATTCATTCAATTAAAAAATTAGTAATGTCACAAACAATGTCACATAGACAGCTGTTGGTCTTTTATGGGATTTTTTGTACTATTGTTACTTTTTAAGATTGTTTTAAAACAATTCATTCAATTTTCATGCAGTGGTTTTAATTTAGCTGAAAAGCACACATTTACTTCTACTGTCTAATACTTGCTCGTTTCTGTAAAAAAAAAAAAAGCCAAATTACAATTATAAACTGCTCAGATTTCACATGCATGTACTTTTGTTCATTTAACTTTGATTTTCAATTCCGTCCGTCCGTCTGTCCTTCAGTCCGTCCATCCATCCATCCACCCTTTTTTACTTTCAGAGTCACAGAGAGCTGGTGCCTATCCCAAGCCATCAATGTGCAAGAGACAAAGTACCCCATGGACAGGTCCCAAGTCCATTATATGGCCACATAGAGACAAACAAGACAAACAACCATTCACACTCACACACAACTAGGAACAATTTACAGTTACCAATAACCTAACATGCAAGCTTTTAGTTTGTGAGAGGAAACCCATTGAAGCATGGGGAGAACATGCAAATCCCACTTTGCGACCTTCTCACTGAGAGACGACATTTCTAACCACAGCTCTGCCGTGCTGCTCTCAATTTCAATTAGCCAAACCATTTTCTTCCATGATGGATGGTTTTGTTTCTTTGTGTTCCAGGTTACCTTCACAAAGAGGAAATTCGGTTTGATGAAAAAGGCCTACGAGCTGAGCGTACTGTGCGACTGTGAGATAGCCCTCATCATTTTCAACAGCTCTAACAAACTGTTCCAGTATGCCAGCACAGACATGGACAAAGTGTTGCTAAAATACACAGAGTACAACGAGCCCCATGAGAGCAGAACCAACTCTGACATTGTGGAGGTGAGTGAGCTTTGCTTTTCCTTCTTTATGATTTATTACATAAAACAGACCTACTGTATGACCAAATTTATTAGACATAAGCTACATTAATTATTTCGGTGCTGGGATCTTAACTATAAAATACACTTTTTTTTGCCACCTAGCCAGCTTGTAAATACTGGAAGAGTGAATGGACAGGAAAGGAAGAAGTAACAATTTCCTTCTAGTCTCCATGTAGATAGGGCACAGGAGGTCTGCGCTCCCTGATAAGTTCAACTTCTCTTGTGTGCACCAACCGACATGAACAACCTATCTGCACAAGCATGCATGCAGTCAATGCTGACCAACAGAGCTGACCACCGGTGTTTCCCAAAGATATCCCACATTTTTAAGGACCATGAGTTGGACTGTTGCACACTTAGTGCTGCAGCATTTTCAGTTAAAAGAACATTCTACAACACCCTTTAAAACACTGAGAGTTTGTGATGCTCCGATTGCCCAGTAGCTATAGCGAATGAGTATGCCACTTGTTATACTAGCGTACAATTTGTCAGCCAAATGTGTAAAAAGCCGAAGTGAGCAAGAACGATTATGAGTGCATCCTGTTCCAAACATCTTGCACTGGCACAAGTGTGGTTTCTCGCCTCATTCAAGCTATGCTTCAAGGGGCCGATGTCTTCATTCTGACTACATGAAAGCAAACACAATGTATGTTAATGCCTATTGATGAAGGCGTCACACTAAGCATGAAATTACCCATTAATCTTTATTGCTATTATTTCAGATGCACTCAGATTATAGAGCAAGGCACTTTCATACAGACTAAGCGAACTGCTCCATCCCTGTTTTTACAGCCACCTGCCCACAACACGTGCAGTTTTGTTTAAATTTTTTTTTTATTGCTGCTGCACAGTTAAGAGTTTAAGAGTTTAAGATGGGCGGGATTGGGAAAAACGTCAAGAATCTGTTCTTTTGAAAAGACTTTCACATGGAGGAATTAGTGAAATTGCATGCAGCATAAAGGAGTCAGCTGCAGCCCATTATCTTTTATTTATGCTGCCTCTGCTTGTGAATTACCTGCTTGGCGGAGCTGCAGAAGAGTGTTCTGGCATCCTCATGCAGTAACTCCTCCATCAGGGGCTCTCAAAGCAGAGCAGGGGCTCACCTGCATAAAAGATATATGAATACATCCCTTACATAACAGTGACCACAAAGTTGTTTTTGCTAGGACTATGGAAGCCTTCTTCAGAGTGATAAGGTTATTTACTGCCTATCCACCAGCTCATTCCACTAACTGTTTTATTACGTTCTGCTAAATGAAGTATTCCTGATTACAATGTCTTATTTTGCAAATATTTGTATTCCCTTTGTATCTATATGCACACAGTGCACATTTGATTTTTCTTTTTAGAATATAGTTTTTGTCCTCAACCAGGACAGTGTTGTTCCAGGACATGGTGGTGAAGCTATGTTTTGGACTTGTATTGCACTTTAAGGCATCTGAGTTTTTCCACCTAAAGAGGGAATCAAACACTTTACTAACAAGCAAAAAGTTCTAGAAACATCAGTGTTTGGAAAAAACAGCTGAAAGGCAAAAGAGTATGGTTTCTGCAGCAAGATAATTATACAAGTTTACCTCAAATTGCTTTTTTAAAAAACAGTTTTGCAGTAGTCCCAGAAAGAGTTGTCGTTTAGCTGCCTTTTAATGTTTATAAATCACCAACTGAGCTTGCCACATTTAAAAAAAGATAAGTACTTTCATAAGTGAAGCGAAACTAAACAAGGGTTTGTGTATAACTCAGAAGTAGAGCCCTACATATAAACTGTGCATTGGACATCCTCATTTTAATTCCTGTGGCCAGCTCATATTCTGCGATCCTGGCTTATGCTTTCGTATACTGTATTGCTTGAAGAAGGTAGTGATAGAGGCGTAACAGCAGCAGGTTGATTCAACCCTTCATGCCACTTTTGTCCTTCGATAAATTATACCAAAACATGAAGATGTCTCAGACCAAGCTTAAGGGCATTTGTGAGAAGGGCTTACATTAAAAATGGACTACTTAAAAATACACAAGTTAAAAAGATATAGCCACATCCTTCAAATCCAAGAAATGCTGTGAATAGACCTCAGAAAAACAGTGCATGTAAATAACAGGAATGTCAAACAAGTACAAACATTTTTAACGAGAAGAACAAAACTAACATTCCTTGAAGGAATGCATATTAGCTGCTGCCTTGCATGCCAACGTTTTACCAAAGAGCTTGCATTATCTGTCAGTGCTTGGAGTTTGTGTTAGGGCTGATTGTCATCTTCTGCTGCCCCATGTTTTAGCTCAACATCTGCAAAACTGACAAGAGTTGTAGCCATGTTTGTGTCTTCTAATGGCAGTTATCTTGAATTGGTTTGACCCCAAAGAGTAATCAGTTGTAGATGTACTTCCAAGTATGATTTTCTGAGAGTTTTGTTGAAATGTGTTTTTTTGATTCACGAGTTATTTTGCTAAGAGAATACAGTTGATGCCCATATTTAAAGGGGAAGCTTTAAAAGCAGATCCTGTGATTAAAAATGTTTAATATAAAATTTTTAGAAAATTAAACTTTATTTTATAAAATATACATGCCAGATTTTTTTCTTGTGGTCCTCCTTTGTATGGTTTTGTGACCCACATGATGTAGAATCTACATCATGCTTGATTTTGCACCAGTGATTTCAAGTTGATTTTTCATTCATGGCTGGCAGCTCTCAAAGGAGCTGCCCCTCTCTATGAAAAGAGAAAACAGACCACTGATGTCCCCTGCTCACTCAAACAACATAAAAAAAATGCATAACTCAACTCTGCCAGCTGGATGAGGTCAAAATTGAGAAACAAAGCAGACCTGAAGCCACCAACCTTGTTCACTTCACACCACCCTCACACATTTCCACTATTCATTTGGCTTGTATCACTTATGTAAGTTTGTATCTTAGATCATTCATAAGTTGGAGTAGCTACAAAATAATCATTAAAAAAAAAAGATTAACACTTGCCTCTTATGATGACCTTTCCTCAACTGATGCACGCATCATGACGGGAACAATCCACCCATTCCTCGTTTATCTTGTGAAATAGGCCTCACATGGGGAAACTTACATTGGACACTTATCTAAATTTTTAAATTGCATTAAACCAATCTGATCCCTTCAAACAACCAAGTGCTCATTTTTTCTAGTTTAGGATGCAAAAGAAAAAAATCTTCTCCCACTTTTCTCACTGGTGAGTTTTGTCCATGATAGAAACTAAATCAAATGTCACATTCCTGCTCAGTAGTACCATCTGTAGATACAGGCTGAGCTGTGCAGTGTGGGAGAACAGTCTCCATGTTTTCCACAGATGGATGCATGCCTTGGCCTCAGTTTGATAACCCAGTGGAGGGCCGTGGACTTTGTCTCAAATTTGGCTCGCAATCCAAAGCTGAGCAGTAGGTTCAGATTTTTCTCCTGTGTGTTTGTGAGTGAGGTTGTGTGTCTCTGTATGGGTTAACCTTACCAACACACCAGGCAAACGATGTGCTATGGTAGATAATCTCTCGTTATACACATCAAACAAAGCCTTATTAGTGAGTTTAAGTCGTAATAATTGAATTCAGATTTTTTTAAACTTGGTTCTGTGAAAAGGTCAAACAACATCTTACCTGCTGTAGATGGCACTTTAAAAAGTGTCAGTTTTCAATTAAATTCAATAAAGTGTATTTATACAGCACCAAGCCACAACAGAAGTCATCTCAGGGCACTAAACAGAAACATTCATATAGATAAAAAGTAAGTTAATAACATTATTTATCTGAGGAGCAGACTGCTTTGAGTCTTAACTTTGTCGCAGACTCTCATCCTGAGTAAGCATAAAGGCAACAGTGGAAAGGAAAAACTCCCTCATGAAGAAGAAACCTCCAGCAGAACCAGGCTCGGGACAAGCGGTCATCTGCTTTGACCTTCTGAGTTTGAGAGGAACAGGAAGGAGGAACAGATACACAATGGCAGGTCAAGAATCACATGCTAAGATAGAAATAATATCAAATGAAAACTTCAAATTTAATAATTCATTTTATGAAATGAGATCAATTTGTCCTCAAGTAGTCTAAGCCTATAAGATAAGATAGAACTTTATTGATCCCGCAGGAAACTGTTGATGGCAGCATAACAAGCCAACCCTAACTATAGGATTTATCAAAAAGGAAAGTCTTCAGCCCATCTTAAAACCGGACAATCTGTCAACCTCACAGACATAAGCTGGAAGTTGGTTCCACAAGAGAGGAGCCTGATAACTGAAAGATCTTCCTCCCGTTCTGCTTTTGGAAACTCTAGGAACCAGAAGTAAACCTGCAGTCTGAGAGTAAATGGTAAATGGATTGTACTTGTATAGCATCTTTCTATCTTATCAAGTTCCTTAAAGTTCTTTATATTACAAGTCTGTGTCCTTATTTACCCATTCATACAGCACTCTACTATATCTATACAAAGATTATTCAGTGCTTTATCACATTCATCCACCAATGGGACACACATGGGAGGCAATGAGGAGTTCAGTGTCTTGCCCAAGGACACTTTGGTATTTGACTGCTGGTGGAATCAAACCTTCAAATCTTGCATTGGAGGACGACTGCTTTAACTACTCAACCACATACCGCCCAAGTAAAGTGCTCTGTTAGGAAAATATGGAACAGCAAGATTTGGAGTATAAGATGGAGCTAGGTTGTTGAGAGCTTTGCAGGTTAGAAGTAAAATTTTGAATTCAATTCTGAATTTGACAGGGAGCCAGTGGAGAGAAGCTAAAACTGGAGAGATATGATCTCTCCTACTAACTCCAGATAAGACTGGCAGTAGCATTTTGGATTAACTGAAGACTTTTTAAAGAAGTTTTTGGACACCCAGACAACAAACCATTGCAATAGTCCAGTCTAGACGTTATACAAACATGAACCAGTTTTTCTGCATTATTTTTAGACATGTTTCTAATTTTAGCGATATTACACAGGTGGAAAAA